CTAAAATAATATTATTTATATTATCTATATTCAAAAAAAATTATTTTAAAAAATAATACACAAATGCCTCCAAAATAATATACCTTCAAATAATATTACTTTTTTTATATTATTTTTATTTGAAAAATATTTTTAAAAGGATAATACACTAATAATACACTTTAAGATATACATACAAGTAAAAAGTATTCGTACAAGGAAAATTTATTATAAAATTTGTTATAAAAGAATATTATTTGTAGAAAATAAACATTAATTAGCAATTTTACATTCTGTTAATATGAACAAATGAGCTTAGTATGTATTCCTGATTTGAATGATTAGAAGTAAAATTTCTCGTCTGTACAAATATTTTTTAAGCGTTTAAACAATACAATTTTTAATTTTCACTTATTTTTCAGATGATATATTTTGTATAATTAATACACATCATTTTGGTGTATATATATATATATAATTTTAAGAAACATATAGTCTATTTTATTCTTTATGAATAAATTGTTAATTATCCAACAAGAAATGATCGTTAATTAAACGTCGAATTGACATCAAATTGGTGTTAAAATCATCGAATTTATATCAATTCGATAATTCATTTCTCGCTGGATAATATTATTAAGTATGGGAAAAAATTCGTGGCGTTTTTTTCCCGTTAAATGTAATGAGAAAAATGAAGTTTTTTTAAAAAATATTTTCTCTGTACGAATACTTTTTGTACTCACTGCATATTGTTATTTCAATCAGTACTTGCGTTTATTGAAGCTTCGCTCGAAATACAATATTTCGCATACCAAAAACACTTTTTTTCGGTATATTTTCCTTCAATCGCTGAGTTGCGCGTGACGTTTGAAAAAACGGTGTACGTGTTTCTCAGATCTATCCCCACTCAAGAGCGGCCGCACGCCTGCCTGTTGGCACCACTTCTCCCTCTCCCTCCGGCGGCCCGCGACGTGCCTGCTATGGCGATGTTTACAGCGTAGTCACGGCAACGGCTCATGTGATCAGTCGGTGGTCCGTCGCGCGCCGGGTAACAGTAGGCGTTCTTCGCGGTGTGTATCGAATCGGATTGTGTTTTGACTTTCGTTTCGTATCACGCCGCCGTCGTACGTTTCGACGGACTACTGTTCTGGTTCTTTCTCGGAACGTTGACAATACTCAACACGACGATCAGATAATTCGAATTCGACGGAGAGGCGAATCAGTGGCGCGAATATCCGGAAAAGTGACGCGATCGGACGTGCAACTGTGCGTAAACAGTGATGTTCGGATACTATCGTGTTTCTCTCCTTTAACACAGCACTCTGTATGGATCAGATTGCAGGACTGACATCTCGACGAAAGCTTACGACGATAACTTCGACATGAAGCATGTCGCGATAATCGGAGCACCGGCGAGATGCGGATCCCTCGTCGCATATCGTTTCGATCGTTCGATCATTCATGCGGATTAAGTGACGCTGAACCGGCAGAACGTGATCGACGCGCGCGTGCTCCGAATCGATCAAAATCCAGTAATATAATGTACCGCGTGAACGCATCGGTGATCATTCGCGAGTATGATTGACGGACGATCAAGGAGCTCTAGAATTTGAGTGTCGTAAAAGAGAGAAAGGAAAAAAAAGGGTATTTTACGGAGTGACGTGAAGTTCGCGGGGGAAGTTCGAGCAGTAATCACGTGATCGCGTGTCCGCGGTGGAAAAAAGCAGAGAAAGTTCGCGGCGTGTTATGGTCCGCGTGTTTTCTTTCGCGGGACGAAATGAGGACGGCGACGCAGCTGCGTGGTCGTCGATGAACCCTAAGGACAAATGTGCGGATCCCGTGGTGGTGGAACAAGGCTCGTGGCTCTGTAAGCCCACTAGCAGCCCTCAAGCTTGTACGCCGCTTACCGTCGGCGCGGGTATGATGCCACGAGGTCTGCCGACGAGACGTGGCCTGCAGGCGTTAGCGCTCGTCATCGCTACCGCCTATGCCACGATTCTCCTCTATCAAGCTATCGCACCGCGTCAGGTAATTAGAACGATCATTATCAGTCGTTACTGAATATAACTATCCGTATTGCTGACGACAGTTCTGTGTAGAGATAAAAATGACCCAATTTCACAACATCTTATCCGGTAATTTATTTACTCGGTAAATTACTCGGTAATTTTTTAAGGCTGGTAAAATAATAATTTTAAAACATTAAGAAAATAAAGTAATTTGATATAAAAGCGTTTAGTCATTAACCCTTATGAAAATAAAAATCGGAGCGTAAATCAGATGTAATGGAAGAGTAACAGAAGCGTGAAACTTCTAGAAGACGAAAATTAGAACAATGAAATATAAAAGAAGCATTTACGCTTCTTTTACATTTTGATGTTTCAATTTTCGCCTTCTAGAAGTTTCGTTTACGCTTTTATTATTCTCTCATTATATCCGATTTATGCTCTGATTTTTATTTTCATCAGAGAAGTTAAAAACGCTTTGTTAACTAAAATTTTCATATTATATATTGTTATTATATATTGATGTAATAATTAGACAACCAACAATCAACAACGTTTAAGACAAGAATAACAAATCAGGGACGATTTACAACAGGAGTGGCGAGTGGCGCACTTGCACACAGTTCAATTGCACACATTACTCACATTGGCCTGTTCCTAGTAATTTTTCAATGAGATTATATTAATTTTAATTAACTAATTAGTGATGTGGACAATTGATATACCGTTTACGATATCGTAATTAATAGCATCAGTCGGCAACTTAATACGACAAGTAGCCACACACTTAAATGAGTCTGTGTCATATAGACACGTTTTGTTACGAAATTAAATTATATGTTTAGATTTCGTCAATAGTTATTCAATCAGAGATTCCTATTAGGAATATTAGAAGAATGTTTTATTTTATACAATTTATAAATAGGAAAATACAGTCTATTTGTACAATACATAAAACTATAAAGACAATAAATACAATCAAAATTACCAATAAATTATCATTTTATCGCAAGTAATTGTAAAATTGAATTTGACAATATTTTTATATCTCTAGTTCTGTGATGCTTGCAGGCTTATTCTCTACAATGCTCTTTATTTCTTGTTTTTTGCTTTTTTCTCCATTTTATCAACAATTGCATTTCTTTCGAAATTCTTAACTTTTATCTCGGACGATATAAAACAAAAAGAGAAGAGTCGAAAAGACAAAATGTAAAAAATAACAAAAGGCAAGAAGTAGGAAAAACAAAAAGCACATTGTAGAAACAGACTTAACTCTTAACGCAAATTTCATTGTCATTATAATGCTGCTGCGCAGCTCTTTCATTATGATAAAAAAGCTGGGCAGTAGTTATTCTATAATGATATCGAAATTTGCGTTATTACAGAATAGATATGCTGCGATTCTGTAAAGCTCGTGTCACATTACAAATTGGGGACTGAGGATTGCGAATTAAAGATTAGAATTCGACTAGTCAGAATTTTAATTTTAATCTGTTTTGTTCTGATTAGCTAATTCTATTGTTTAATTCGCAATCCTCAATCTCCAATATGTAGTGTGACACGGACTTAAGGACTGTCACACATACTTTTCGTAGCGACAGTTTGGACATTGTCGTTGCACAGCTTGTTTTATAAGTTGAGGAAACAATATGGAAATCCTGAAAAATTTCGAAAATATTGTATAAATTTTACAGAAAAGTGTTTCAGATAAAAGGTTCGTTTAAACAGATCTTTTTATTCTTGGATAATGTTAAATTGATAAGATCAATAAATAGATCTTTTTAAGTCCTGCAACTTTTATCATAAACACTTTTCTGTAAAACTTATATTTGTCGAGATTTTTCAGGGTTTCCATAATTTTTTTTTTATTCTTTATAAGAAGAATAACTGTCCTTATTATCTTGGAAGTTTTCTCGTAATAAGCCTTTGTATTTAAATGAGTCATAAAGAATACTAGTATAAATAAATAAGAAAAAGTATTTTTTTTTTATTAAGTTAAATTATTAATGCACATGATACCGAAGATAATATTCTATTTTTTAATTATTAAAGTGTGGCAAATATTTTTCGAAAGATATGAGGAATTTATGCGAATCTAGTAATACCGCAAGATTTTATAAGCTTCCTATGGTGCTCTGTATTGTGTTATGAGTGTACATTGAAATTATAAGTATAATTGAAATAATGATTTATATTAACTTAAATTAGTTTACATCTGTTATCTGTTTTAATAATTATATGTCAGAATGAGTTATGGATAGGCACATAAATTGGGGGGCACATTAATAGAGAGCTATCTTGGAAGACATACTAATAGAGACAAGAACATTTTTTTCAAAAACATGAAACATTTACATAACATTTACATATTTTTAAATTTAAAAAATATCATAAGAAAAAGAAATAATTGAAAAATGGATATTGATTTCAAGCAGATGAAATTAAAGCTATATTTAATAATTAATAATTAAAATAATGAACGTGTTGATTTAAAGGCACATTAAGAGGCATATCACTATCACAATTGAAATAATTATTCTATAATATTTGCGCAACGACTTATAACGACATTGTCGTTAAGAATTATAGAATCAGAATACTGAGCAGGGTGTTCAGAAATTTTACTCGAATACACTCAGGTATCATTTTGTTTAACATTCATAAGCATAAAATGATGTCTATGTGCATTCGGTGAAGTTTCTGAACACGATCCTGTGTTTGTCTATCGTCGAAGTTGAGCGAGATCGTTTGAATCCGACTAACAATAGTAATATATATTAGTGTTTGTGGCATTCAAAACATTCCGCTATTATTGCTGTATCCTTGTACTTATTCTTGTATTCTTTTTTTGTTATCTAACTCAGGTTATCGAAATTAAGATAATAAAAAAGTATGAAACTTAATCTGAATAATTCTAATGTTTCTAATAATAATAATTCTAATAATTCTAAATTCTCATACATGAAAAAGCTCGTATAAAGAATGGCACTCTTTTTCTCTAATATAATGTATAATTTGAAAGAATATTAGTTTTTTAACTGAACTTTTTGCACTGTTTATCTTTTCTTTTTTTTTCTAATGTAGAGAGAAATTAATTCAAGGGAAAGGTTGAACATGCAAAAAGTTTAACCGAAAAGAACAAACTTAATATGATCACAAAAAATTATCAAAATATTAATTGGCAGGATTAATTGAGGGGATGGACGGAATAAAGACACATTTCTACTTAAGTTCTTTTTCCGGAGATTATATAATATTTTTTTATATAATATGGATCGTAATAGAGAAGTATTATAACATTATAACATGTAACTTCTTAAGACATTACATAAATTCATTTATTTGATACAGTATTCATTTGTGTATAATAAGTAGCAAGTCATTTTAATTTTTAAAATCAAGATTTTGTAAAAGGTCTTTATTTATTCGCCCTCATTTGTAGACTGCATTATAAATATGAGCCGTGCTGTTTCCACATTCAAAAATAAATTTATTTGTCGCTCTGATTCTGTAATGGGCTTTCTATAATAAACCGTTAGTCACTATTCATGCAATAGTAATAAATTAAAATTATAAATCATAAATTTTATGAAATTATCCAGAATACTTACATCCAGAATAAATCATATCAGATCGTTACAATATTTCAGCTAGTCAGAAGAGTGATAGTTCTCAGAGTAAATAGCAATATACTAGAGAATTGATCAGTCCTAACGTAATTTAAGTTATAAATTGTAAGAAATGAGATTTGGCCATCTTCACGCAATCACTGATTACTGATTTATTATTGTCTTATTACACACTATTAACTCATTTACAATTCGCTCTCAACTTCTGATCTTTTACTAACAGCTTATTATTGTAAAAAGCTCATAACTTTTAACGATTCGGCATCGTTATATTGTCGTTGCATTGGTTTTTTATCATATCCTCAAGAATCGGGGTACAAACAAATAAATTTATCTCTGCGTGAATGTGTAAAGAACTTAGCTCGTATTTAGTTTAATTTAATTAATCCTACAATAATGTAGATGATTTTCTTATGAAATTATGATAGGTTTTCTTTTCAGCTAAACTTCTTGCATAATTTATCTCTTTCTTCTTTTTTTCTTCACGGAAAAAAAGAAAAGATAAACGATGCAAGAAGTTCAACTAAAAAAAATACAGATTATGTATTTATTCTTTCAAGTTATAGAAATATTAAAAAAAGAGAAAATGCATGTTTTATGATAAGATTAGTATGTTAGAATTATTCAGATAAAGTTGAACTTTTTTATTATTTATTTATTTATGGCATATTCGATAGATTGCACTAATGCGCACTGAACTACGTACGAACTTTTTCGGTGCCACGCATTCGGGTTGTGCACTATATCAGTGCGTTCAAGTTGCCATATTCGGCAAATAAAAACTGATCCAATGAAGTGCTGAATTTGTATTCAGATCAACCGAATGAACGAGTTAAAAAAATGTTGAACATTTTTGTTTAGTGCAGTTTGGTATTTGAACAAACAAAACTAATTAGGTAACAAAAAATTACAAAATAGTGGATAAAGAAAGACTAAAATTATTTATTATAAATGAATTATTAGAATTAAGTAGTAGCAATGATGAAATAGAAGATATGTGTAATAAAAGAAGAAAGGTCAAAAGTTAAAAATTATGTGGACGTCGTGAATATTCGGGCAAAGAAGTATTAATATATGATAAAAAAAGAAGTAATTATATATGATAAAAAAACAAATATTTTTAATAATGAAAATATTTATGTTTACTTAGTTGTAATGTACGTTATTAGTTTCAAACTTAATTCTGCATCGTGTCAGGGCAGCACCGTGTCAGTGCATATGTATCGAATATTCCATTAATTTCAATCATTAATTTCAATAATCTGAAAAATTGATTTGAATGCTTATAAATGCATTTTCAGCATTTTATATGCCAATAACACAATTTATGATTATTATTTCATAGATACATATAACATAACATAATATAGTATATGAAAACATTCAAACACAGATATTTTTTGAATAATTAATATGTGCATTTTTATAAATTTAACTGAGGAATATAAAGTACAAGTAGAGGAAAGGCCCCTATTATGAGATACCGATTCATTTTGAGTAAATGCTAGAAATCTGTGGGCAGAATTTAAAAAAATAATAGATCATTTTGAAGGGAGATCATTTTAGTAAGCTTTAAGGTAATGTAAAATTTAATTCAAATTTTATTTTTTTTATAAAGAAAATTAAAGAAATGTAAAAAGTGAGCAAATCGCAAAGTTAAAAAATTGTGCTCCTAATATGAGATGTCCTGAGAAATCGATAATAAAACGCAAAATATTGCAATTACATTAGTATTGCAATTAAAAAACTTTTATTTAATGTTTCTAAAATAGAAATAAACACAGCCAGTGCGCGTACAAAATGAATATGCGATGCATTGTACCTAGTTGACTTCAGGTAGTTGGAATCAAGCATCGCAAAAACAGTTGATGTTTATTCCGATTGTCCTTTTTATTATTGTACAATAACATTTATACTTTAACAATAATTTTCACTATGACATAGGAGCATTATTTCATATTAGAAATACCTTGGGTATCTCATATTACGATTTCCATGCCTCACTGTTTTACGTTTATCATCAAATCTAACTTCTAATTATAATACATAATTAAACAATTCAACATATCACGTATTTTTTTATTAGTACGATCTTACTCTATCATCACGTGAAGAATTTATTGTCAAATTTATTGTCAATATTTATTTATTAAATAATAAACAAGGTTTAGAAGCTTATCTCAACGAAACTTGAAGACATCCAAATTTTAAAATCTTTTTTTGCAACGACTATAGGCACGATCTAATAATAAATTTTTCTAACTAAATAGCTTTCAATCCAAGAACAGTAAATTCATTGATGGAATCAATAGATAACGTTTATTAATTTAGCGGAAACGCCGCTATTTCATATTAGGCGCCTATCTCATAATAGAAGGTCTCCTCTACTAAAATCACATTCTTCAATTAATATTAAATAGATTTCTCTCTTTCTCTTTCTTTCTCTCTCTTACTTATACAGAGTTTGGAATTAAAATTAAAAGAAAATATTTATGAAAATATGAACATATTTTAAGTAAAAGTAAGAAAGTAAAAATATATATATAATGTCAGTAATAGACAATTTTATAGAAAAATAGTTTTTTTGATACGTTTATAGAAAAAATTGATTCCAAATTAGCCACAAATTAAACGTTGATGCGAAACATAATTATTTTTATAGTTATTGTATATTACATATCTCTCAATGCTTCGATAAAAAGAAATATTGTGTTTATGATATCATTTACGAAAATAATTGCTTATTAAAAAGAATATGCTTATTTTTCAATACTTTCTCAATGCCTTTTAGCGAGGAAAGCTCACTGCAAGAATCTCAAGAGAAAATTTTTTCTTTTTTCTTAATGATATATTCTGATAATTGTATGTCGCAGTGGGTCGACGAGATGAACGTGGCGGAAGTGAATAGCCGAAATGTGATAGTGGAAGTGCCGGCGTCGAGAAAGTTAATAAGCGAGGAGCTGCCGGTGACGCTGCCGGTGGCAACTGCGACTATGGCATCGTTCACGACGAACCTTAACGACGTGTTTATCAGCGTGAAGACCACCAGACACTATCATCATTCGCGTTTGCCGGCCATCATCGATACGTGGTTCCAGTTCGCCAGAAATCAGGTGAGCTTCTTTTATTCCGTGTAGATCGCCGTGAAATGCCAATATTCCGGATTCATTAGCGTCGCTCGATTATCTCGTTTTTTGCGCCCCAACCTTGCGACAACCTCGTTACAAATATAGCACGATCACCTAACACTGAAGCTTCCTAAGAATATTGTTCAATAATTGGGATATTTTTTGATATATGATCACTTATTCGATTTGTAACAATACTAACAATGTATTAACTTTATTTTTACTTTGCATAAATTTTACTACTTTCTTTATAAGCAGTTATATATATTTTAATATTTTTGATAAAATTATGTGATGTATATTAGAATTATTCAGATAAAGACTTTAACTTTTAACTTTTTTATCATTTATCAATTTTAGTAACCTAGAAAATTGATGACGTGAATATTTACAGAAGTATTTCTAGCATCAAACATCGACAACATGATTTATGATTTTTATTTCATAGATGCACTATAGTATAGTAACATAAGAAGTATACGAAAATACTTAGGATAGTTTTTATATAAGTTTAGCAAAATTGCGAACTTCGAATTATTGGAGATTATTAATTATTAATAATATGTAATTAAATGCCACTTTTATTGTTGAAACATATTTGATTATTATTGAATATAATGATTTAAAGAGCTCAAAATTGCTTCAAGGATCAATATAAAAAAAAATTCATTGCTCGTTCGTTAATTCTTATTATACAAATACTATATAGAAAATATATTTGATTCCTCTTAATATACAAATAAATATGTAAAAAATAAGAATATATAAATTCCATGTATATATACATCCATGTATATATACATGGATATATACATGTATATATACATGTAATTATTTAATTTAAATCTGAATACGAACTATATATATATGCGACTGCGTAATATTTTTTAAATATTTTATATATATTTTTTGTAGGTAGAGCGAGATTATTCTGTCAGTTTCAACTTAATTTACAATAGCAAACAATTTTTTTGCAGTGACGTGTTTGTAATTATATTATACAATCATTATTCCTTAAGCACAACTAATTAAATAATTAAAATGTTCTGTTCAAAAAAACATTATCGCGAGAAATGGACGAAAAAGCTCCGCTTTATTTTATTTACATTTACAGTTTAATAAGAAAATAATAATATCGGTTTTATTTGGTATAACAATTGCAATGTTCAATTAGGATAGTTTTTACATGGATATAATATTTTTTATCATAAAAATAATATTATATACTATGGCATTTAAAAAAAAATGATTTTGGAGTTTGTTTGTTATTATTTGATTCATTCGTTATTAATTGTAAAGAAATCAGAGAACTATTATTCGTAAAAATTATTTTCGAGGAGTATTGTTCGTTATTTGATTCGTTTGCCATTTGTGAAGAGACCAGAGAACTTGGATAAGAATTAATCGTGTTAAAGTATGATAAATGTACGCATAGTCTTATCGCAACGTCTCCATCATCGCGAGATTCATCTACATGCCTTCTTGTTGGAGCGGAATAGACCACACTTTGTAACGACTCGTTGGGCTTTATCCAAGGGTATCGAAGCGTATTCGCGCGTATTTACCGTAGACCATGTCGCCGATGATCAGCATGAATTCACGATTTCTCGCGCCATGGGAATGAGATTTGTTCCACTCTTCCTTTCCTACAATTTCTCATTTGCCTTTTCGTAAATATCGCGATATACCATCCATACTCTTCGAAAACAAGGACGATATTTCACTCGAATTTTATGTGATATTATTGCTGTAGAATTAAATTAATTAAATTTTTTAAAATCACAAATAAGTAAATCTTTTGAAAAATTTTTTTTTTCAATACATAATTATGCTATTTTCACTGGTAATTAAATATAATGCATCGTATTCAGATTTAAATTAAATTATTGTGTATGTACACATAATTATACATTTTTATTTTTATATATTTGTTTTATATCGAAAAAAAATGAAATTTTCTATCTTTTAAGATTCAACTGGACAATGAACAAGAATTTTTTGGTAATTAATACTAATAAAGAAACCTTGAGAGAAATTCTCATACGCTGGTATTATTCTTGCGTTGGATAAAGAAACAAAATAGTCTTGTATCTCTCAGCGGCTTCCGCGTCCTTCTGCACTTTGCCAGGTTAATATACCGTTCCTCCAGGTAATTACTACCTGGATTTTGCACGAGTTCTCGCGTTTCCTGTAATTTCGGTTGATTTTCTTTACGCTGTTCAGGGAATGGAACTTTAGTGAATTTAGTCGTGAATACATTATCATGTTGTTTATTGATATCTTGATTTGATTTCTCATTTAAGAAATTTTTTGTTTCATATCTGTACTTTTATTTATTTAATTTCTGACTTTGGCAATTAGATATATAAGTATTCCTTATCCAGTTTTAATTTTGAAAAGTAATTGTTGTGTCTTTTTTTATATTATAATTTTTTCAAAGTTTCTTTGTGTTTTATTAATTTAATTTGATTAATTTATAATTAATAACAATTGATATATTGAAATAAGAATAATTAATGACAATGACAAAAAATTTTGTACTCAATATTTCTACACTCAAAATGACAGCTTCACAAGCTACAAAAATTAAAATACGATAATATAAAATAAATAAATGTCATTTAAGATATTTATTATTTATTCGGTTTTAAATATCTTCCAAATCTATTTATATAATTCAGATCTGTTCAATTCGAATTTTGGAGTGAAAACGCAAAACCATCGAGGCAAAATAATTCAATGTAGGTAAAATTTTGGGGACTGTAAAATGTTGATCTAAGTGATTCTTATCAGTTTAATAATTTCTGAAATCTTACTCATATTGAATTTTTTTATGTCAATGGTTTTGCATTTTGGCTTCGGAGCTCAAATTGGACAGGTCTGTGCTAATTATTAATAAATAATATAATTAAAGCAATAATAATTAAACTGTTTAATATTTATATAATAATAATATATTATACATATATAATTAACAATATTATATTAATGATTGTCAAATATTTAAAATTTAATGCATTATAAATATAAGAGCACAATTATATAATAACGAAAATGTAATTCGAATGTTAGAATAATCAGATTTTCAAGATAAATTGAATAATAAATTAGGAAAATTGATAAGAATTTATATGTCGATTATTTCTTAAAATAAAATAAAATTAAAATAGATAAATTATTTGAATTGATTATAAAATTATTTGAATAAAAAAAAATATATTGAAATATAAAGAAATGACTCAATTATTATAATTAATTAAAAATCAAAGTATGTATCTAAAAGAGCTACGAGCCAAAAGATAAATTACAAACACAATCATTTCGATCTATCACGAGGTCATTATCAATAACAGTAAAATTTGAATTTAAAAGTATAACAATTATAAAGATCATTAGAGTTGTATGTCCGCAACGAAAGCATTTGTAATTCTCATGACACGCCATGGTGTCTTAATTTGCTTCGTATCCTGATTATTCTTTGCTCCCGTCGATCTCACGCTTTTTCCACGCGTACACTCGCGGTGCCTGTGACTCGCGTCAGCATGCATTTTCCGCGATGCGAGCGAGAAAAAGTACGATGAGAATAATAAAAGTCTGTGTCCGGCTGCATACGGTTTGTGGTTCGTGGGAAGATCTCACGATTTACCTCCGACCCTGACGACCTCCGCATTAGCCGACTTAGTCCACCCACGAGCACTCTCAACGAACTCACCTTTTTCGTGGTTTCTTTCTCGATAATTAAACGATGCATCACGATCCTGCAAGTTGGCTGAAATGATCGTTCTTTTATTTGCGTGTATGAGATCGAGAATGTCGTTGATTCTCATGCATTGTTGCAGAAATCCAATACATTCAATCAGTACATGATATTATAAAAACGTATAAAAACGATATTGCATGATATAATAAAAGGACACTTTTATGATGTAAAAAAGAGTATCAATTTTTCAGGTTGTTTTATATATTCATAACTTAATCTCATAATTAATAAAATGTTATATTTGTAAAAGAGAATTGATTTATGTACACGTTCATAATTTATAAACGCGCATTTTAATAAAATATCCACGGGGAAAATATCCAAAAATGAAGAATTTTATCGAATAAAAAAATAATATATAAATCAATAATTTTCAGCGGCTAGAAGACTTATTTTCTTTCCTGGCGAGATTAGAAATTCACAATCCAATTTACGGCAGGTGATTTATTGTGGTGAAGGTAATAGACTCTGGTAGAAACTTAGTCATCTGCACCTCCTAAGGTTCAAAATTATTTGCGGAGCAATAAGTCTTGAAAATGTAGATTGATTTCTTAAGACATTTGCAAAATTTATTTAATGCAAAACATTTTTGCAAAACAGTTTTATGTTGGTATATATTGTATACATCATTTATACTGTTATGGTTATCGTTTGACGTAGGGATTTTTTAAAATACTGATTTTTTTTGAAATGGCGATAGTTTGAAAAAAAGTTGCAATTTTTCAAAAAAAAAAACCGTCTTTAATTGTCAATTAAAAAAAATTAAATATTTTGAAAAATCCTATGTCAAACGATAGAAAAAGTTGCTAAGAATATTCAGTTAAAACTTTAAGTCAACCGGATGAAAATTTTTTGAATTATTATGTACACCGTTTCGGAAAAATGCGTTTTGAGAAAATCGCGTTTAAAATTTTGAAACATTACACAGCTGTGTCACAGCAAGAATTTCTATCTTAATCTGTGTTTGCTCCATAAAGTTATTTATATTTTTTCTTGTATTCTTAAAGTAAGATTTTCTTGTATTCTAAAGGTTGAAACTAAATTAAAGTATAAAAAAATTTCGATTTTTTGAAACCTCAGGGATAGGGTTTCCCCTTAAGAACTTTGAAAATTAATATTGCAGAAAAAAAGATTGATACTTTAGACTCCAACTGAAATCGTGAAATATAAAATGTAATATATTCACTTTTTAATAAAATATATCAATTATATACATTTAAATTACCTACAGGTATATTTATAAATATTTAAACAAAACAATTTAAACAAAAAGCCTATTAAAGAAAAAATTAGAATTAAATAAAAATTATTTATATAATTTGTAATATAATAGTTAATTTTTTATGATATTTTGTATCTAACAATTCCAACAGAACATCATTTTATCTTTTAGTGTATATATTTTTACATATACATATATATTAAGGCTCTTTTCTGAAGTCTTAAATAAGTCTTTATGGATTTTAAAAAAGAGAAACAAGATTAGAGTATTGTATGTAGCAGTTCGCTATTAAGGTGTTAAGTTTCTCTTCTAAATTGGACAGAGGTGAGCAATAGGTCGTAATGTTTTGATTATTAATATGTCGTATATCACGGGTAATGCGTTTTAATAATGCGCTCCACTGAGGAGAAACATTGATTGCGCATTTATTGTTTGTATTGGAGCAATCCCTATATTCACCCTTTTTCTTTTGGCCACCATCTTACGATGTTGTTAATGACCTTTAATGACCACATTTACACACTTTACTACTACTTCTTTTTTCGTTCTTATGTGGTCAATAATTTACGCGGCATATAATAAGATCAAATAGTTAGTAATTCGTTTAAGTTGTTTTCCAGACATTCGTTGTGAAAATAATCGAGATTTATATTTTGTTATCATAAAATCTCGATTATGTGAATGGCAGTAAAGATAGTATGCCAACGTATAATGCACATCTGTGGATATTTTTTACTATCGCAAAAATTTTTATAGTTTTAATAATTTGTTCGATTTTTTTTTTTAGCAATATATCCTTGGATGAAATATTCCAAATGAATTTTTGTTATGATTTTCTAATATCTATTATTAAATATTTTAACAACATAAATCTATAGTGTTAAATTTAACTATTGTTTTAGTATAAAATAATGATATGTATATTGAGAAGGAGTGGTGACTTAAATTAGATTAAATTTGACATTATAGATTTAACAGTATTGTTAAAATATTTAATTTTATTTTTTAGTATATATATA